GCCCCTTTCTAATGCACTATTTCTATATTAGCAAGTATTATTTTTGCATGGCTATTTCTATCATGACTATAAATGCTAAGGTGACTTGTAAGGAAATAATCTATTAAGCCAAGTAAATAAATAATAAGTGATCTACAGAGCTACAAACTTGTACTCTTGAAGGTTTTTGTGTTGAGGGCAGTTCCTCCCAAAAGGAGGACTCCTCTCTGGAATGGGAATTGTGGATTTTGCATTCAATTCATGCTGAATAACATTTTGAACTTTAGACTTTGGGCTCCAAAGTTAAAATGTGTGCCACTGCAAACCGCTGAGAGTCAGAGCTCAATCAGTCTGTGTGGAAGTGTGGGGGTGAGGGGTGGGGGTGGGAGGGCCAGCCCAGGTCAACTGTGGTAATGAAAATTCCTGACTCAGTGTAAATAATTTTCTATTCTGCAACAGATTTAGACCTTTGCTGACATTCTAAATTCTTGAGGATTTCTGACTCCTGCTTAGGCCACAAAAGTGCTTGTTTAAGGAGCTGTTGTGCAAGCACAGGCTGCCTGGGGAGACTGGCGATGCCCATAAAGTACCTTCTTCACAAGGACTTTCCCCTCCCCTCTCGCCCCCCTCCCCTCCCCTGCCTAATGACCCACCATTTGAAATTGGATTAAAGCATTGAATCAATACTAGTTCCAGGTTAAATTGTACCTACTCCTGTCAGCCAGCAACACCTTGCTCACCTTAAAAGAATTTCCCGATTCCCTGAAGAAGGAGGGTGAGCGGGCCAGGTCCCTGGAACCCTGTTTTGAGAGAGGTCGCTGGAGCTGACTCCCCTGAGCCAGTGAATGCCCGCACAGACCTTCAAAGCCTGTTTCTTCAGCCGTCACCCTGAAGCTCCCACCCCACTGGTGATTGTGATCTTGGTGATATGTGTGACTCAATTTTAGGATTACTTACTGGAGGTAATACCCCACCACAGGAGAATGCTGGCGTGGGGGTCCCTGGATGACCCCAGATCCTTTGTAAAGCTCTTCTGGAATGCAGAGTTTGAGACAAACAAGAAGCCATCAGAAAGGTGCGGAAAGTGTGGCCGGGAGGTCCCACAATTGTGTCTGGAACTAATTCAGGCGACATCTAAACTATTTTTTTTTTTAATAGAAGATACTGAACAGCATGTGGTTGTGAAATAGGCACAACATAAATGCAGAAGCTCATGAACGTCTTCGAGGGCGAAGAGGATTTCTGGATGAAAGAAAACTGCAGGGAAATTATTACAGAAAACATTTGGTGAGCGCTTTCTACATGTAGACTTTTCTTGGTGGTGGTATGTGCCATGGAGGCTGAACTGACTGTAAACCAAATGCACGGGAAGAGATTGTCTTTCTCCCGCGCGGAGCAATTTGTGGACTCGAACCGCACACTGGCAGAGCCAGTCACCAGAGCTCCCTACAGAATAGACTAGCGGAGATTTAAAAAGGAACAGAACCCCGTTTCTGGATATTCTTGTCTCCAAAAGCTTGAGTGGCTTTTAAAAAGGAAAACCGAATACCATATAGATGATAAATAATAAAGCAATTATCATTTACAAACTACAAAAGCATTTAGCCTACAGGCAGCAGATGGGGATTTCCCTCCTTTTCTCAGCGCTTCTCAGGAAGCACTTTCCATCGCGAGCGGTAATTATTTAGCAGGGGACTCCAAGCGCCCTTGCATCAGGCATGGTCGTTTTATTCTTCTTTCTCCTAAGCCCAGCCCTAACAGTTCTTGCAAAGAAAATTTGTGCAATGATCCTTCAAAGGAGGGACAGACGTGTCCCAGGTGTGTCCAGAGTTTGAAACTAATCGTATTCACAGTCAAAGGTAAAATTCCTGGGGTGCGCAAGGGGCAGAGACAAAAAAAAGTAAGGCAGGTCCCAGAGCCTCGGGGGCTTAAGCTCGCCCCTCGCCCACGCCTCTCGAAGCAGGCCTCGATGGCGGCGCCGGGCCGCAGGCCACGGGCGCGGGCGGCGCCTCCCAGGTCCCCTTCGCCAAGTGCAGCTGCTCCTGGAACGTCCAGAAGGCCGCAGGCTGCAGTTAAGGAAAACACCTACACGCTTGCCAAATCATCTCGGAAAAAGAGCTGAAGTCTCCAGAAGAGAAAAGTCTGGTGTTTCGATGGCCTGTGGGAGCCCCGCGGGCCGGGAGCCACACTCGCAAAAACCGCCACTGACAGCGCTCCAGGCGCAGCGGGCACGGCGCCGCGCGGCCGCCAGGGGGCAGCGCTTCCTCCGCGGCCCGGCCGCTCCGCTTTCCACACCGCGCGCGTGGAGTCCCGCGCTGCGCCTGGGCCGGACTCGGCTCGGCGTCCTGGTCCCGGCTGGGGTGGGGTTGGGGTGTGGGTGTGCAGGACGTGGGGCTGGAGAATAGGAGACCCGGGCTGCAGAAAGGGACACGTGGGAAGGAACATACTCGGGTTTCTAAGCCTGGAAATTTCACGAAGGCAGAACCGAAAGGTCACACACCAGTGCGCTTTTTAACTAACTCAAAGAATGCCCAAATGCGGGACTCTAATAAAGCTTGTCCTAAAGTTCATCGCCCCTGCTGCAATCCCTCTGGCTCGATCTTCCATGTCAGTAAATCCCCAACACTTTGCTCTGGGTGCTCAGAAGACAGTTTGGAAACGTTTCCAACGAGAGAGCCCTTTAACCCTTCGGGGAGGAAAGTGAAGACAGAATTATCAAAGGTACGCAAAGTTCACCCTCTGTTACCTTCTGGGCTAGGCAAGTTCAGGGCGCTGGTAACCCTGGACAGAGGGACGGTGGGAAGTGATGGGCTGAGAAACCAATGGTTAGCGTGGTCTCTTTTGCGTCCTATCTTCATACTGGCCTTCGGTCTAGTGAACCTCAGTGTTTGTTTAGATACCAAGCTAGTACTTAAACTTTTCTATGTAAAAGGTGAACTTCTAGGTAAGGACTCCGGCTACATCAACAAAGCAATGTGATGGTTGATGAATAATGCTGATTAATGTGAGTTCAGGGTAGTACTGAGCTCATTACAATAATTAAATGACTCAGCCATATATCAAACGAGGGCCAATGAAAAAGAACTTGTTTAGAATATTACAGCGCTCTCATAGATCTTACAAAGATCAGCAATAGACTTTACGGGTCATTTGTAACTGGTAGTAGCTATTCTTAGTAACTAAAAAACTATTCCTTTTTAAAATCTTAAATAGGGAATAGTTTATATTTTAGCCCCTGTGATTGATGATAAAGGAACTAATGAAATGTTTCCAAACGTGAAAAGTACTTGGTCCATAAAATGATCAGGACACTGAAACATGAGTCTACAGAAAAGAATTTCGTTTTATATCTGAGTTCTTGTCCAGTAGTCATTTCAATCAGAAAGCTAAGAGACAAGGGCCCAAACTTGGAATAGAAGCATTTTAAGGCATGCAAATATCCTGAAAGCATGGTTATGTATGGATCCCATAAATTATTAAATTTTTCCTCTGAAATAATTTTGCAGATTGTTTTGTTGTTCTTGTACTCAAAGTGACATACTAGATTTATTCCCCCACTTTGGTCATATGAAAAAAGAAAAATGAACGGAACTTGAATCTACAATTGTTCCCGTTTGTTCTCATGAATATTTTATGAGTTTCTCCAAAACACATTTTTGGAAGTTGGTCTTAACGTTTTTCTTTACCATTAAAGCTTCTATTATTAAGCCTGCCTGAGTAGAGAGGTGCATATGTCACAGTAACTCGAATGCTCTGAGCCTCAGTGAAGTACTGGCTAGACTGTTCCTAGTCTGAACCCTGTAACTCCCTCACTACGTTATGAAATTCTTTTCCAGGAAAGAACTTTTTGTGAGGCATTCCTAAGTGCATTTTTTCTGTATGTGTATTTGAGTTATTAAATAAAAACATTTATACTCCACATGTAACCATGATTTTCTTCTTTATTTTCATGAAATTTGTCAGATCTCCTCATCAGATCTTCTAATTAAAGTGGCTTAGCTTAACTGTCAAGTCTCTAGGGCTTTCAATTGAGGATAAGTGACTAAAACGCCAGCCTAACAGCATTTTTTATTAACAGATGGCGGAAAACAAACGTCTTTGCACCGAAGGGGACAGGTTAAAGGGTCAATAAACAATTATTGTTGTGCTTAAAGTGGAGGGCTTCTAATCAGATTCGGGAAGGAGGGCGCTCCTCCAATCTGGGGGAATTGGGACACCCCAACAGAACCCCAGGGTCACTCCCCAAGATCAACTCGAAGGACATCTTTTCGGGCCTAAGTAATTGAATAAGTGACTTGGCTTCACACAGGGGAGGGATTCTGAGGTGATGGTTGGGGGCCAATTTAGGCGCAGGAGGTTGGGATGTCTGTCCCCCTCGGTCTACACCACCGCGGCCCTCACAGATAGCTAGGTCTCAACCCCTTTGGCAGACAGTGGTGGAGTCCTCTCGCTTCTCTCCTCGGTTGCTGCCTCCTCCTTTGCGTGAACTTTCTCTCCAGAGCAAGGCTGCTTTCCTAAGCTTGCTTTCCTGTCCTGGCAGCGCTCTGACGTGCACACCATGTGACAGGCCCCCTTCTGCTATAAGCCGACGAAAGGTCCGCCCTCTCCTGGACTCAGCCCCGGCCTCGCCGAGCTCTGTCCCCAGACTTTCGCCCATCCCGCACCCTCCCGAGAGTCGGGCGAGTTCTCTCCGGCCCGGCCCCTGCCACTCCCTCCTCGGCGGGCCTGCGCGGGCGCTCGGGGCGAGAAGGTCAAGTGCGGCGCCCGCCGGGAGCGCGCGTGGACGCGGAGCGCGCCGAACCCGCGGCGCACGAGTTCCCAAGTCTCAGGGAGAGCAGCGGCCGGCGCCGGGCAGCCCCGCGCGGCTCAGGTGGCACCGACCCCCCCCCCCACCCCTGCATGGCCACCCAGGGCCCGCCCCGCCGCCCGGGACGCGGGCTGGAGCGCGGCGGGAGCCTGGAGCCCGGCGCCCCCATGCGCCGCCCCGCCGCCGCGCCCCAGCTATGACCCTAAGCACGGAGATGTCCGATGCCTCTGGCCTCGCCGAGGAGACAGACATCGACGTGGTGGGGGAGGGCGAGGAGGACGACGACGAGGAAGAGGAGGACGAAGACGACGAGGGCGGCGACGGCGGGCGTCGGCTGGCGGTCACCGCGCCCGGGAGGCGGCGGCGGCGACGCTCGTACGCTGGGGAGGACGAGCTGGAGGATCTGGAAGAGGACGACGACGACGATGACATCCTGCTGGCCCCGCGGGCTGGGGGCTCCCCGGCGCCCCCCGGGCCTCCCCCAGCGGCGGGAGCCGGGAGCAGCGGGGGCGGCAGCGCAGCAGCGGGCGGCGGGGTCGCGGGCGGCGGCGGCGCCAAGAACCCACTGGTGAAGCCGCCCTATTCGTACATCGCGCTCATCACCATGGCCATCCTGCAGAGCCCCAAGAAGCGCCTGACGCTGAGCGAGATTTGCGAGTTCATCAGCGGCCGCTTCCCCTATTACCGGGAGAAGTTTCCCGCCTGGCAGAACAGCATCCGCCACAACCTCTCGCTCAACGACTGCTTCGTCAAGATCCCCCGCGAGCCGGGCAACCCGGGCAAGGGCAACTACTGGACGCTCGACCCCGAGTCCGCCGACATGTTCGACAACGGCAGCTTCCTGCGCCGGAGGAAGCGCTTCAAGCGGCAGCCGCTGCTCCCGCCCA